CTTTGCCGATCATTACTCTCATCACCTTCACCAATCATCAAACAGCCACCATAAAAGATCAAAAACAAAAGAACAAAAATTCATAAAAATCACTTGCCAAATCTGTAAAAAAAAAAAAAAAATTCAAACTTATCCATCTCTTTCTTCGACGTTGATGTTGATGTCGAAATTGAACGCATGAATCCTCTGAATCTTGGAATCTAAGGATTAGGGCGACTGGGTTCCACGAGGAACCCAGAATTCCTCGTGGAACCCAGATCTGAGTTCCACAAGGAACCCAGGAAGATGATGTTTTGGGTTCCTCGTGGAACCCAGCAACTGGGTTCGACAAGGAACCCACTGGATTCGTGGAACCCAGTTCTGGGTTCCTCATGGAACCTAGCAACTGGGTTCGGCAAGGAACCCACTGGATTCGTGGAACCCAATTCTGGGTTCCTCATGGAACCTAGCAACTGGGTTTGTGGAACCCAGCAACTGGGTTCTGCAAGGAACCCAGAAGGATGATGAAGAGATGGTAAAGACGATGCTAAGGGTGAGAAGGAAGAAGAAGATGAGCAAAAAAATTTTTTTTTTTTTCGAATAGCAAGAAGATGAGAAAATTAAAAATTAAAGTTAAATATATTTGAATTTATTAGTTCTAGTTTTTTGTTTTGGAGTTATTCACAAAAAAATTATGCCACGTCATTAAAAAAAAAGTCTACATTGGATTAAAAAGTATCCACATTGGATTATTAACAGTACATAGTGTCACGTTAATTTTTGGGTGCCACGTAGTGCATTTTGTAATGGTACCGTGACGACATGTTAAAATGTTGGGTTTTTTTACGGGTTTTGAACAGTTGAGAGTGTGAATAGGGAGGAAAAATTTTGGAAGGTGTTTACCGTAAAAAACAATTAAGTGGAGGGTGCAAATAGACCCTTTGGCAAAAAAAAAAAAAAACTGTATATTCTCTTAAGTTCACTGCTAAAGTTAAAAAGGACACAAAATTCTAACTTTTTTAATTATCTGCACTTTGCATACAATAAAAACAAAGTATCTCATTCTTAGATAACATTTAATCTCCAACTTTTAAACAACTATTTGATATTTAGGCTTCTATTAATAATTTTTTATTAAATGGTAATTTTGTTAGTTAGGATAGTAATATGAGTAGTAGATATCGAAAAGTGAGTGATAAATAATGAAAAGTAAATAGTAAAGGTAAATAACAGATGTGATTAATATAATTGTTTAGTTATATATTAGTTAATTATTATTGTTTAATATTAAATGATTAATAATAATATATTTAAAAATAATTAAGTATATATTTTTCTTTTTTCTTTTTTTTATTATTAAAATTATTAATTTTATAAAAACAATACTAAGAAAATAAATAAATAAAATAAATTATAATAATGTAATCATACATTAATTTTTATTTTTAATAAAGAAAAAGTTATATTATTTTTAAATAAAGTACAATAAAAATTTTCATTTTTTCATTTAATTAGCAAAATTTATTTATTAAGTTAATATATTTTTGTTATAAATTAATGTAAAAATAAATATATAATAATTACTTAATATTATTAAAGACAAAAAAAATTAAAACTAATTAGATAAATATTAATTAAAAATTATGATAAAAAATTAAAAAAAATAAATTTGTTTAAAAAGTTAAAATTTTTTTATCTGCTAGTGATTTAATATAAAAAATTACTTTGGATAACTTTTGTATTGTAATTCACTAACGGTTTGAACATTAATTACTATCCATTAATTTTAATTCGTTAAATAAAATATTTTACTAATCACTTAATTTATAAAATAATTTTTAAATAATTAAATTTATCAAACATTTATTTTTAAACGGTTTGAACAAAACTACTGATCACTATCTTCAAACTGCTATACCAAATGGATCTCATTCGGGGAATTTGATGAACAATGATACAATACAAAACCTAAAAGTGCATTCATTTACACATCTCAGATCAAACTCATAGGCCAATAAAGACCAGGAACAATTCTCAGTTTCCTACAACAACCACTTGTAGAAGAGTATAGCTGACAAAATCAATGGTA